AATCTCGAATTACTAGTTCGCATACGAATACATCAAGATCGCTTGAATGACCGGTATGAATCCCCCCCCCCCCCTTCCAACCCCCGAGTTAGTGATGTTGCTGGAATGCTCCTATGGGCCGAGACGTAGATAAGTCCGGCCATTCGATCCAGAGCTGTACAACTCCAGTTAGTACCCAAGCCTATTCGATGTGCGTACGCCCCACCTCTTTGAGGTTGCCCGAATGGTCGTTTTACTTTCTCGTGAGTACCGCTCGCTAGTTTATGACATCCACCAATTTTCGTTTTACCTCTTCGATGTAATACCTCTATTTTATATATAGTTATGCTTGTCAGTAAAATCATGAATATGGCAGCATATTAGTAATATGGGACCATTGCTAATGAACATGAGAACACCGAATAATCTTGGACAAATTCTGTTGCAAATTCTAGCAGGGGATTTCGACTCATTTTCACATCTACATATTTGAGAACCGCAAAATGTTCATTAAAAAATTTCAGAAAAGAGGATGAAAAAATTTGGAACTCTGCTGGGATGGAAGAATCCGTAAAGGCACAGGCACGAAATTTTGTGCCTATTTAAAAGTTCCTAGGCTCTTCCTAAGGCCTCAAAAGCTCCGAAAACCTCTAAAGGAGGTCCAGGAGCAGGTAAATTTTTAGTTAAATTTATATTTTATTCCAACAGATTCATGTTCACTTACCTGTTCATTCATGCCACCACCATTCAGTTGCCAGCCTTCCGGCAATGGCAAGGTTTTATCAGCAAATGAATTCAAAAACTGAACTAATTCGCGATTCTGACTGAAACGTTCAAATTTTGCACCATCTTTTCGAATACGATGCACAATGTGCTTCAGATAACGACTTCTGTTGTACAAACTCAATGCTTCCTGAAACATTCCTCAGATGATGGAGAGTTTGTACATATTTACAATAGGATCGCCAGCAAACTGACGATCGGCGACAGTCAAAGCTAACAGAAAAATTGCTAGCTGCACAACCGTAGTATGAATTTGCAGTTAATTCAAGGATTCAGGTAAGAATACACTTAGGATGCTGCTGAGCATAGCACAGTGGCGAATAGCACTATTATCGTGCGGAAAGAAGAAGATTCAACTCGTGGCACAATTTTGAACGGCTAGCGGCTGTTTTAGCAAGATTTTCATGGTAGGTAGTTTACAGACCTTGACTTCCTTGCTCATAAAAGCTGTACTTCGACAAATTTTTAATTCGAATTTTCAATTCAAAATTTTTACTTCAAATTTTTAATTTTCAATTCAATTCAAAAAATTTTTAGCTCATAAAAACTGTCGCAAACACTCGTCCAGGAAACACATGAAAATTTTAAAAGTTCATGAAAAATTCTAAAAACCTCGTCCCCTGGAAAGTTTTTTTTCTCAAACCACTGATAAAAACGTGCCTGGTTTTCGTGTAGCAAAGATATGAAGTCGCCCCGCTGTAGAAACTTCACTGGAGAACAGTCATGAGATGCTGATGTTGTTGGCTCTCCGCGAATCACTGTTCGTCGAACACAGACATGTCTAAAAATACACATAAGATATGGTTCTTGATAAAATTGCAAGAAAGTATTGCCAATAACTTAAGGACAAAACTTTATTTTGTTTAAATTATCGAAAAATCGATGGATTGGTAATCTGTCCAAAAAAAAGTTGCCAATAGGCTGACCACCAACGAAAAACAGCATCGGTCAAAGCGGCAGCAAAAGTTGCCAGTTGCAAAGCTGGAACTGTAGCCAAGCCAAGGACAAAACAAGTTAGAAAAAAATTAAAACTAAATAGAATTAAAACAAAATAAAATTAAAGCACAACTAAAAACTCAAACAAATCTAAATGAAATCCGAATTCAAAATGAATCCATAACAGGTGTTGTAGATAATTCTGTAGATAACTACTAATAAAATGACAGCAGCCCAAAGCTTTCTACAGAGAAACGTTTTCACTTGCCTTTTAGCAAGTTCCCTTTCCTCTAGAGAGTTTTCATCGGTCGGTAGTTCCCAACTTGTTCGCTTGTTCTTATGATCCATATAAAATACGCGGCCATAGCGATCCACTCGTGCTTCCCAGTCTAAATTTTTATAGACATTTATTTACTTGCTTGAAACGGCCACTAGGAGTCACCACTCATTCAGAATGTTCTCTAGTGTTGTAGTCGACAGCCACTCTCTGAATTCGACACTGCGCTTTTAAATAATGCACAAATTTTCTGTTCTTACTAGGACTTGCATGTATGGATTCATTAGCACAGCCAAAAAGAAGTTATGGATTTCTTGCCTGCTAAAAAAACAGGGCTAACCTTTTCCTGGAATGTACGCATTATCCTGTTTGACCACTGCTGACGTCGATGCTTCTTCCTCTGGCCTGAAAAATATATACCGTAAATGAACTACCTAATCACTCCTTGACAGTCACCTGGAAAACCATGCGGGTGGATTTTTTATGCCGATTACTGATGTTCTTAGTACGAAACTCGTACATTCCAACAATCTGTTAACTGAACTCAGCACGAATACTGGCGCTTTTTGGATCGGGCGCTTGTCAAGAAAAACAGGCTGGGGAAGAATGAGCTGCTTGAATTTCTTATTTGCTCTTGCCTCCTTAACCTTGATACAGCCAAAGCTTCAACGACTTTTATAGTTTAATTCTCCACAACTATAGTGCAGTTGGAAGGCTTGAAATATGGCAAATATCGTACAGACTTGTCACCATATGCGAAAATAATATTTGAGTTCCGCGTGTGGGAGCATCACAGCGTAACACCATTAGCAGGGAATAACCGCACTGATTGTCCGAGCTATCTTGGTATTCTGGCTTCTCTTTCTGCGGAAAGTGAATTACTGAGAGAGTTTTGATTTTTGACTCGAGAAAATGCACCAACCAACTAATTTATATTCATTTCGTTAAGAGCGCAAAACTAGAATTTATTTTTCCACGCAGGCGATGCAGGTCAGTGTGAGTTGAATAGAGAAAAAAAGCACCTGATATTATCAGTGATACTGCTTGATGAGGGTGTCGGCTGTAATATACTGGGATCGAATTGCAACATATTACTTGTAACGTCACCAGGTATCGTCACGTTACCCTCCTCATCTGGAACAAACACAGTACCCAAAATGAGTCAGAAAAAGTACGAAATTCAAAAAGTGTCAACGCATAAATCTTGCAAATATTTTAATTATCTTTTAATCATACTATTTTTATAATTTGCCAAAAAAACCATTTTTACCTAAAAGATATGCACATCACTAAAGCCTTCATTTCTCTCATTCACCAACAGTACCAGCACAGGTCACTACCCTATTCCGTACGTCATCTTAAATTTGCTGTGATAGATAATCTCGTATAAATACGATTTCAAGAAAGTA